TTTATTACATCTGATTCTAGTGATATTGATGATTCTGATATAATGTATGAACGGCATATTAATCAATTTCTTAATGTAAATGCTAATGCAAATGCTATTAGCGGACACTAAATATTGCATCTCTCTTTATTATCTAATCTAATACTTTCAATAAAACTCACAATTAAACTCTGATCTAAAACTTTTACCCAATTCACCCTTTTATCTCTTATTTTTATCTAAATTCTTCAAACTCTCTTCAAAAACTCTCTTCTAAACCTTCCATTTAATCAATTGTCTCCAATAAAACTTTGATTTAATCTTTCATCTTATCACCCCTTTTATTTTAACCCTAAACCCTTTAACCCTAAACTCTTAACCCTTCATCAAATTCTCCTTTTATATTATTCAATTCAGCTTTAAAACTAGCGTTCAGGGTTTGACACTTATTTTGTTTCTCATTTTCACAAAGTTCCTTAACTTTATCATGCACCTTGTCTAAATTCTTATCTATTTTCTTCAATTTATTATAATATTCATTGAGCTTTCTTTCGCATTCATTATTATTATTATAATGTCTTCCTGCAATGAAAGCAAGAATATATTCCTCTTTAATTTCGTCATCTCCTGATGGCTATGCTAACGCTTGCCTCTTAACCTTCTGTGTCATTTACGTTTCTTTCCGGACTACTTCAAATCATGGGTTGTCTTGAGAATAGTCTTTAGAAAAAGAATTTTTATAATAATATTTTCTAAAATAATCAACTCCCAGATAATTTTCAAAGTAATCGATATTAGAATCCTTATCAAATATACGATTCAAAACATCTTTGTGCCTCCTTATTTCTTGCAATCCTAATGGTCTTCCATTTTAAAATAACTTTATCACTTGATATTCTGAAAAAAACAAGTAAGGGCTTGAAAAAAGGGATGATATGATGCTATGTCAAATAAATAGAGCATAGAACCCAAATTAAAGGGAAAAAGAAGAATCGCAACTGCTCAAATTGCCCAAAAAGCCTACCCTGTTTATCCATTCCTGATATCATCGTATACCCTAGAGTGGTTACCACTATGCAACTTAAATGCGCAAAAAAGGCAAGAATATACTTCATAATCTACACATCATATGGAAAAGGGCATCAAAACAAACAATACCCAGTTGTTAGGATATTGTTAAGCAAAGAAATAAATATTGGCCGTTAATAATCTTTATCGCTGATAATAATTAAAGTTGAAATCTGGTGTCTCTGATCTTAACCCTAAACCTAAATAAAACGTGACTAACATATCAAGTCAGCAATAAATTAAAGGGTAAGATTTACAATTGCCTTAAACCCTTAATTGAAATAGCAAATACCTTTAAAAAATATTAGGGAAAAATCATTCAAAGCGTTTATAATATTTTTTCTCAAGATGAAATTTTTGATATAGCTTCTAATGTTATAATAATATATGCCCTTATTTGATTTATATGAGTAGATTTCGTTTCTGCTTTTTTTCTAATAATATTTTCTTTTTTATCAATAAATTCTAAAGCTTCTTCCTGTGTCATTTCAATATAAATCCCTTTGTAATCCAATGAAACAATTATTTTAGAGGTATTCTCACTGTAAATCCATCAAATTGTTTCAACTAAGCGAATTAAGATATACATTTTTGTTTGAGCATAAAAATTTGATCCTATATCAACCATTATTTTCATTTGATTAAGTTTTTCATTCTGAATTTGTAGAATATGTGATTTCAACTTAAAACTATTAAAAATAAACACAAAACCCCTCAAATTCATATATTTTAATAGTACTATTCTGATAAACTCTTATCTAACTCTTCTCTTTCTTTTATAAGTGAATAAAGTTTTGGCTGTAAGACATTATTCATAAAAGAAGTATATTTTTTAAGATTAGTAAAAGGACTATTTAGATTATCATTTATTGACATCCTATTAAATTTAATTTATAGAAATCTACAGTTTAAAATTAATTTTATTTTATTAAAAATTTAATTTTTAATGTTTAATGAATAAAATTTAGATAAAAAATAGTTTTAAATATAATAATGGGCCTTCGTTGTAGAGAGTTCTGGAATTCTATCGGAAGTCCTTCACGGATTGTTGCACCGATGGTCGATCAATCGGAGCTTGCCTGGAGAATTTTATCGCGTAGACATGGCGCAGATTTATGTTATACTCCTATGTTCCATGCAAAAAAGTTTTGGTCATCTCCTCGGTATCGTAAAAATGTTTGGAGTACTTTGGATAACGGAGAAGATCGGCCTTTAATCGTTCAAGTATGTTCTACCGGTAATTGCGTTAATACTTATGGGACCAGTTTTGTGCAAATGATCCGGAGGACTTTTTAAAAGCATCAAGAATAGTGGTAGGAAAGTGTGATGCGGTTGATTTAAATCTTGGATGTCCTCAAAATATTGCAAGACGTGGACATTATGGCGCCTATTTGCAAGAAAATTGGGATTTAATTTCAAAAATAAGTACTAAAGAAATAATCAGCATCATAAATAATAAACAATATAGTTAAGCATGTTAACGAATTTCTTGACATACCTATAACTGCTAAAATTCGCATTTTTTTGGATAAAGAAAAAACATTAGCTTATGCTCAAATGATTGTAGAGGCAGGAGTTTCAATCCTAGCAATTCATGGAAGAACAAGAGAACAAAAAGGAAATATGACTGGATTATCTGATTGGAATCAAATTTTATATTTAAGAGAAAACTTGCCTTCAAATATTGTTATATTTTCTAACGGAAATATTCTTTGGCCTCATGATATCGACAAATGTTTAAAAGAAACAAAAGCTGATGGTGTTATGTCTGCAGAAGGAAATCTTTATAATCCATCTATTTTTAATCGTTCTGATACACGTTCAGTTATTACACAGATTGCTAAAGAATATTTGGATATTATTGTAAATTATGGATTGGAAAACGATAAAAGCTGTATAAATGCTGTGAAGCCACATTTATTCAAAATCCTTCGCACGGGATTATCTAAATATGTGCATTTGCGAGATGAATTAAGACAAGTAAAATCAAACGAATTGGAAAAATGTTTTAAAATAATTGAGGAACTTGACATCTTAGTTAAGGTATTTTTTATTAGTTATTAGGATTTTTGATAATTTTGAAAGAAAGCAATTTTAGAAAATAATGATGAAGAAAAGATTCAATGGTGGCATTGTCAACCATATATTCGATCCTTATCAGAACTTCCAACTAAATCGCCTTAAATTATTAATGATTATATAGTCAATTTGAATTGACATATTTTTTGGAATTTTATTAACTTTTGTTTAAAAACAAAATAAATCAAGATTGGCAAATTTTTAATATAACATTTTTAAAAAGTCTTATTAATGTAAATATAATATATATTTATCAAATTATTTTTTTTCATAAATAAATAAAGGATAATATATATTATAGATATTTACAAGTGGTGTTGAAGAAAAAGGAGTAAGAATTATTATGATAATTATCTATGTATATTTTTAAAAGGATTATATATATTATATAGTTGAATCTTATAATCTTTTCAATATTTTTCAATATTAATTTATAATTTAAAGGAATCTTGGATTCAAGTTATTCTTTTAATGTTAAATCTTAATATTTTTATTTTAATTTTGATTTGTGATCAATTAGTTTTATCTAATAAGATATAACTTCAAAGTTTTTATAGATATAAATTAAAAAAATAATAGAAAACAACTAATGTTAAATATAAATACAATATTAAATAATCATTTCTAGTACTTTATATTTATTCAATTGTTAATTAGCCAATTTCAAAGAATAACGATGTTAGGAATTTTATTTCTATACTTTTCTAATTTTTTATTGTATAATTTAGATATTTATAACTAGAGTTTTTTTACTTTAGTTATAAAATATACTAATATTAAGTTAATTATTAAATATATTGTAATAGCCATAATTCGATATTTTAAGAATCATTTAAGAGATAAATATAGATAATATATAATTAATTATCATGGAGAGAAAGATTATCATATTTAATAAATAGTTGTGAAAATTAAAATGTGAAAATAGTTTACTGGGTATTCCCCAGTAAATTGTATAAAATAATCAGTTCTTTATCTTATTCATACAGATTATTTGGATATTAATCAAATAGAATTCTTGATCTTAGTTGTTTTAGAATAATTATAATGAAGGACTAGTTTATAACAGTAAAAATTAATATAAAATCAGATGCAAAGTTTTTTATGATTTTTCCGGGAATTACAAAATTTGTGCTAATTTAGTATGAATTTTTTTATACTTAATTTTAAAAGAATAAGTTAAAAGAATAATTTTATAAAAGTTATACCCAAGTTCTTAATAATCAATATCAAAAAAAGTTTTAATGGGATAAATTTGAGTTCAAACCATGCAATTATTATAATTTTGGGAGATATATGAAATAGCTTAGCAGCATGAGAATTATTGAATTATTAAAAAAAACTTTGTAGTTTGATAAAAATATTAAAAATAAGCAAAGATTCATAAGCTTTGTATTCATGTTTGTAAAAAATATATATGTTCAGCCAAATAAAAATAAATATGAATCTCTTATAGACATTTTGTCATTTTTTCAAGAATGTAATAGAATTTACTATTCCAATATTTTATAAATATAGGGTTTTTAATAATAATATTAGATCCATTTCTTAACATTATACTATTGATTATATTAACAAGGGCTTATAAATTATAAAATGAATTTATAGGATTATAAACTAATATTTCTGGTAAAAATATATAACCCGGATAATAAATTTTGAAATACAAAACAAATATATTATTAAGCATAAATAAGAAACTTATAAAGAGAAATATATTGTAAATTATATACGAGTTCAAGAAAATAAGGGCTAATATAAAATTGCATTTATATATTATTATAATTAATCTAAGCAAATTCAATATATATTCTTTACGTATATATTTAACCCTTATAATTTTATTCATTTATCAAAAATGAAACTATTTAGTTTGCCCGTACTAGGAATCGAACCTAGAGCATCACAGCCACAATGTGAAGTGTTACCGTTACACCATACGAGCTTAAACTTAATTACTAATATTTGCTATAAAAATGTAATATATTTATTTCAATTATTAAATTATATTAATGACTTTAATATTTCATAAAATTTAACATTAATAATTTCTTAAATAACATTTTTATAAAGAATTAAAATTATATGGATTTCATATTTTAAAGATACAAAATACTTGAAATGTAAATTTTTCATAAAGTACAAAATGTTTTGTAAAACTAAATATTTTAAATTAAATTAACTGAAGATCAATATTAATAATATAGTGACAATAATAGTATAGTGACGTTATATATTAAAGAAAAAATCAAAAATTATCTTAATTATTAAGATTGTTTTAAACGTAAATTAAAATAGTTTAATTTTTTAATATTACAAGTCAATGAATAAAATATTAGTTTATTTTTAATTATTTATTAAATTCAATAAGATTTTTAATAAACCGCTCAATTTTATCTCTTAATTTTTAACTTCAAAATTTTTGAATTTAATATTATGGATACAACTGATAATAAAACCAAATTATATGTTAAAGATAGAAAAGTTGGGGAAGGAACTTATGCTATTGTTTATTTAGGTATTTGCTTTTTATTAAATTATTTTAATTAAGAAAATAGGTAGACAACTATCTACAAATAGAAAAGTTGCTATAAAAAAAATAAAAATTGGTCAATTAAAAGAAGGTCTTGATATATCTGCAATCCGTGAAGTTAAATTTCTTCGTGAAATCAAACACGAAAATATTATAGAGGTTTTTATGATATTTTTTTAAACTAACTGTTTATTATGACTTAATAGCTTATTGACGTCTTTTTATCTAAAAAAAATCTAAATTTAATTCTTGAGTTTCTTGCATCTGATCTTGAATTGATTATTAAAGATAAATCACTTATTTTTTCTTCTTCTGATATAAAATCATGGTTACTTATGATATTACGCGGCGTACATTATCTTCATTCTTATTTTATTCTTCATCGTGATCTTAAGCCAAATAACCTTCTTATTGATGCAAACGGTGTTCTTAAAATTGCAGATTTTGGGCTTGCTAGAGATTATGGAAATCCATATGTAAATATGACTAGTCAAGTAGATATTATAATTCATTTTCAATTACTTAATCTTTCTAACTAAGGTTGTAACTCGTTGGTATCGTTCCCCCGAACTACTTTTTGGTGCAAAATCATATGGTACAAGTGTAGATATATGGTCTATAGGTTGTATATTTGCAGAGCTTATGCTTCGTACACCATATCTTCCTGGAAATACTGATGTTGATCAACTCGATACAATTTTCCGAGCATTAGGAACTCCAACAGATGAAGATTGGCCGGGAATGCGCCAGCTTCCAGATTTTGTCGAATTTAAGCAATATCCAAAGCCCGTTAACCATAGGGTTCTTTTTACAGCTGCGAGTGATGATGAATTGCGTTTATTAGAATGGCTACTATTATTCGATCCACTAAAACGTCCATCGGCAAAACAGGCTCTTAAAAGTAAATATTTTTCTAGTTATCCACGACCAACGCCTCCATCTCAATTGCCAAAAAGAAATATTGAGGGAAATGAGTCAGGTTCTATTAGTCTTATATTGGATGATAATATATCTCGTATAAAATTTGATACAAAATCTGTTGCACGTAAACTTGTTTTTTAATTATATTATTCTATATTTATAAATATAATAAAATTAAAAAGCATATTTCATATAAATTGACATATTTTGAATTATAGAAGGTTTAATTTTAATATAATTGTAATTATTTTATATGTATATATTATAAAAATACAATTATGTAGAAAATATTTATTAAATACATGTTTATCTTAATTTTTATCAAATTTATATTTTAAAAAACTAAATTTAATATTTTTAATTACATTGTCTAAATATTAAGAATATGTTAATGTATTTAATAAATAAGATTCTGCTAAAAATTCAGATATATGATCCTGGTCTTGAAGCAGATGTTGCTATTATTACTCACCCGTATACACTTTTAACTGAAGATTTTAATGATCATGCTACTGTAACAATTTCAGAACATTTTTTACTCTGTTGTTAAACTTAATTAAATAATCACAGAAATATTGTTATCTTTAAACTATTTAGCAATACATTTAGCTTTTAAAATGTATTAAGATTTAAAAATAAAATAGATTAAGCCTTTCTGAACAAGATTTTTAAACTGTTATAAAATAATTCTTTTACGAATTTCCAAAAAATTGATAAAATTAGTTCAGGCATCTATTCTTATAGCACTTTGATTCTTTTAATACAGATATTTCTAATGAAATGTTTTTTTTCTTCTAATTTCTCATTTTTACTACCTCTCTTACATATTTTCTTAGATTATCTTTTCAATCTAAATCAATTGATTTACATAAGAAAGGTTTAGTTATTTATGGAAAAAAAGATTTAGTTATTCATTTACTCTACTGAAAAATTATTATAAATTTTAGATAGTTTAAATAATTCAAGTAGTTTAACTGTAATAAAAGTTAACAAAATATAAAATATTTTTGAAATGAAAAGAATATTATTAAAACACTGTTTTTAATATTGCTAACTGGATAAACCATATATAAATAGCCTTATTCTGAATTAATCATTAGAAATCCAGTAAATGTTAATTCCACTAATATTAATCGATAAAGACAATAAATTATTAACACCTAGTTAATGTATAGATTCATATTTTTAATAAAATATAAGAATAATGATAATCTCATACAATTATTTCTTTTGTCCCTTGTTTCCTCGTTCTTCCATTACTTTCATTAGTTCTTCGCTCATTGAAATAATTTCCATCTTTTCCTTTTGCTCATTTTCTAACATTCTAGTCGTTTCTTCTAGTTTTTCTTGAAGGGCATTAATTTTGGCCTCATATTTCTTTTCATAACAGGTTTTAAGTGCCTGAACTTTTTGTTGGTGTTTCTGAGAATACTGAGAATGTAAATCCTTTGCCAAAATAGTCAATTGCTCCTGATGTTTGCTTTCCAATTCTGCCAAAACTGCCTGATCAATGACTGATGATGTAGGTTTTGAATCTGCTGATAAAGACATTAATTTTTTCGACTCTAATTCAAGTTTTTCCTTCTCCCATGAAATAATAAGGTCATTCTTCTCACGTTCTACTATAGAAACAATGTTTTCAATCTTTGCAACATGCATACGAAGCTCATTAATCTCTGCTTCACGGCCTCTCAATTGAGACTCCAAATTTACTATTTCTGCACGCAACTTTGACCTTTCCTTCTCAAGATCATGCAATGTATATTTTGGAATACTCCTTGGCGTTACAAAAACAGGTTCTGGACTCATATCTAATAAAAGTTTCTGTGTCTCAGTTGGTGTAGACGGTGGAAGAGGTGGTAACTTCATATTAGACACAAGAGGTAGTGTTGGAGAATTAAATGATAATAAAAGATTATGCTCAGATTTCCGTGAATTCGGTGTAGATAATGTCTTATTGGGTGTACTCATTCCTGCTCCAGAAAATGATGGATTTTCATGTTTATCTGACAATTTCTTTAACCCATTTTCAACAGATATTTCACTATATTTTGTCGGTGACTTAGTTTTTTCTTCAAAGGATAGATCTCTCTTAGAAAAACTGTCTATCTTGGATGGAGAAGTATTAGACTTTCTAATGAATAGATGACCTTCTGACATTTTTTCAAAAATAGCCGAAGCTTGGGAATATAAATATATGAATTTAAATCATAAGAAATCAGTAATATTCCTGCAATTTTATTAAAAAGTTTTAATATTTATCTACTTAAAAATAAATATAAAAATGTTATATTTTAAATTTATAAAAATAAATATATTTCTTGTTAAGCATTATGTCCTATTGCGATGGGTGGTATCTCTCCTTGTTCGATATAATATTTATCATAAGGGCTCTTTCCAGCACGAATATCTGCTTCGTTAATTTCTACTCCAGGATGTCCATTGGTTAGTCGAAGTTTACGCTCATATGTTTTAGCATCTCCATCTTCTGATAATCTTTGTTTATTTTCAATTTGAACACTGAATGGCCCATTAACTTCTCTATCTAACCTATTATATTCTAAAATAGCACCCGAAATAGGCGCACGCTCTAGCAGATAAACCATATAAATATGGGTTAAATCCTTAATTACAAGTGGCGGAAGACGTGCTGTTTTCCGGATTAAAGTAATCACTTCAGAAATTCGATTATGTGCTTTTATTGCAGTATCCGGGGCTTAATCATTAATAATATATAAATAAATAAAACATTACGTACTAACGGGCTGTTCCATTTCAAACATTAAATAATTGATCCAAAAATAGCGACTGTCAAGATATAATGAAGCATTTTTTTGAAACATTTCACGAGCTTCATCAGGAGAGCCTTTAATCTTGAATAATAATTAATAAATGAATTAAATGATAATATATTCTATACCTTCCATATTAATCTGATCCATTCAGTAGTCAGAGCGGCCTTCGCATAGATATCACATGTATTACTATCAATAAATCGTTTCAATATAGCAACAGAGTTGTCAATGCTCGAAGAAAGACGTCGTTCCATATTGACCCATGAAATGATCGTTTCTAAATGGCCTGGAACTTTTTCAAATTAATATATATTAGCATATAAATATTATGAAAATATTACGTTTGACAAGAATTGATTCAAACATAGCTCTAGAAATATCTTCATGACCAAGAGCTTCTTCAAAATACGCATACTGATGACGAATAGCAGGCCGACTGAATCATTAAAATTTATTTACAATAAAAAGAAAATACTTTCCAGATAGGAACAAAAGTGGAACATGCACGTTGATATATTAATCGAACATCTTCTTCCTTATTTTCCTGCGCAGACATCCATCGAACATAACGAAACCAAAATTCATCATATAATGCCTTTTAAATTAGTAATAATTATCAATAATTTAAGAAATAAAATACGCATGCAACTAAACAACGCTCATAAAGAAACTGTATTCTTCTAAAGTCTCCTTCCG